AAGTCTTTAACAGCTCAAATTATATGAATAAGATGAAACATGATTTACTTCATCAAATTCTAGAAGATGTGAGTTTTTGGAAGTTGAGCTCTTAGATGGTAACAAATTTACAGAATGCATTATTTACAACCCAAGTATCAAAAAAATGTGAAGAATGAAATGACTTATCCAGCTTATATTCTACTCAATGCAGGGAGCTGCTATGCAGTGATCCATGAAAGGTATCACATAGAGTGAGACAAGGAACTCATTCTTTTTGGAAATAGCAATACCATTTGTACACAATTAAAACTCACAAGAATTTTGAAAAAAAAAAATTGAGCCAATGTGGGCCTCAATAAACTTTCACTGGCTAATTGTAAGATGAAGCTTTACAGTTTCTCACATGAGTATATCCTCCTGCCACAGGAGAGACAACTTTTTGTTATCCGACAGGCTCATCACTTCCCTCTTTCTAGGAAACATGTCTAAATTCCTTTTCTACAATTGCTCATATTATATGATGTCAAGATCAATTATCACCTCATTCTCCCTCCTAGAGAAATTCTAGTTTGTCCAGTAAGCTTTCTATGTCAAGATGACCAAATAAGACCTTTGCCCTGGTGGGAGGTTAAAGACAACTGCAAATTCTTTGTTTACTCCTCGAATTGAGAGGTGGGTCTAATTTCCCTTTCTGAATCTGCACTGGCTTTAGTGACCTACTTTGCGCCAACACAATGTGGCAAAGTGACTAGGATTCCCAAGGTTATGTCACAAGAAAATCTGCATCTTTCAGAACACTTGCCAGAACTCAGGTGCCATGACGTGAGGAAATCCAAGAAGCCCCATTAACTTGAGGTCCTAAACCAAAAGTCCAACTGAACTCCAAACCAACAGCCAGAATCAACTTACCAGTTATATAAGTAAACCATCTTGGAAGCAGATACTTCAACTGATAGTCAAGCTATTTTGCCCAAATTGCACAGCTGTAATCAATATAAGCTATTCTTGTTTCAAATCACTAAATACTGGGGTGGTTTGTATACTCAGCAATAGATAACTGGAACACCTTTTATCTCAATAATAACTCCAAACAGAAACACTGAACTCTGTCTTTGATGAAAATAGCACTAATTAATTAAGACAGGGGCAGATGGGAAGAAAATATTTTATCCGAGAGCCTGCAGTGAAAGACAGGGAAAAGAAGCAAAGTGATCTGTATCCACACCACAGAACTCCGCAATGGATCAGCATCAGAACTGCAGAAGAAAGGAGGACAGGGCTGAAAACCAGGAGACTGTATAAACAGTGCTTAGCACTGTGAGACAACTTCCTGCCCTAGTCCTAAAGAACACATCAACTGTAGTCTCTAAACAAAGAAAACCAAAGGTTCTAGACTCAGGACCTGTTTGTGCAGGCACAGTCAGACTTACCACAAAGTAGGTTAAGTGAAAGTCTACTAAGTAAATGAAGATTTCTAACCTGCCTTCCACAGCTTAGCTTTAGAATGTCAGCAGCAAAGTTTATAATCCCTAGGCAAGAAAATAGAGAAGACCCATCACTAGAAAAACTGAACTGTCCCAAAGGAAAGATGGATAGGAACTGATACACAGAGGTTCCAATAAACCAGGTGGCCTGCCACTCCTGTACCTTGCCTCAACATACAAAGTTCCCATTCAGCTTTATGTACTTTATATATATATATATTTTATATAAATATATATATATATATTTTTTATATAATATAAATAGAAAAAGAAGGATCATCAGGCTTTGGGGAAACCTTCCAACAGGAAACAGAATAGACAAAGGGAAAAAAAAAATGCCCAGCATACTGAAAACTTGAAGAAACTGGGGGAAGTATAATACAAACTGCTTTTTGAAAATAAATATATGACAATGGAAAAACATTTTAATATCAGATTATAGAAGAAAAGTTGAAGAAATTGGATACAAAGTCAAATGAGATAAATATTAGGAGGAAAATTATAAAGAAAAATTAAAGATAGGCTATAGATCCCAATATCAAAATAATTCCAGAAAGAGTAGAGACTAAAGATGGTAAATTGACACACAAAAAATACAAGAAAGTTTCCCAAAACTAGAGGACACGAGGCTGACAAGTTTCCTGAGAGCCTCGCAGAATAAATTTTAAAAAGACCATAACTCAGACTTCCATAGAGGCCCGGTGGCTGGGAGTGTGCAGGTCAACGCAGGGGACACAGGTCTGACCCCTGGTCTGGGAAGATCCCACATGCCTCGGGGCAACTAAAGCCCACGCACCACAGCAACTGAGTCCTGAGCTGCAACTACTGACGGCCGCACGCCCTACGGCCTGGGCTCTGCAACGAGAAGCCTGTGCAAAACCAGAGGGAGCCCAGTACAGCAATGAACACCCAGCCCAGCCAAAAAATAAAAGAATAAAACTTGAGTTCTGATCTAAAAAAAAAAAAGCCCCCTATCTCAGATAACGAATCTAAAAGCTTCTAGAAAAAAAACCAAAACGACCAAAAAGACTAACTAGAGAGCGCTCAGCATGGCATTGGGCTTCCCTGGTAGATTCGGCGGTAAAGAATTCTCCTGCAATGCAGGAGACCCAGGTTTGATCCCTGGGTCGGGAAGATCCCCTGGAGAAGGAAATGGTAACCCACTCCAGTATTTTTGCCTGGGAAATCCCACGGACAGAGGAGCCTGGTACAGACCATGAGGTCCCAAAAGAGTTGGACAAGACTTAGCAACTAAACAACAAAATCAAGAAAAGAGGAAGATAAGGGATCCAAATCAGGAGAAAAACAACAGTGCAGAGGGTTTCTGAAATTAAAAAAAAAAACCCACCAAATACAGACTGCAGTAGGAGCATGCAGGAACCCAGAGAGATGACCCCAAGAAAAAAACAGAGTTGATAAATTAATTTGTGTTACCAAGTGGAAAGTGATGCTGAGAAGTGTTTCACAAAACTGATAGAAAGAAGAGACTGAAGAAACTATACAAGTGAAAAAATGATTTGACTTCAACTTGCTGATTTTATATAGATAAAAAGGTTTTGGTATGTTAAATGACATGTAATTAGTGTCACAAAGGACAGAGGTATCAGTTACCACAAATGAGGATACTCAACCATCTATGGACATCGTTTCAGGAAATGGAATTTACTAGCGATGCTGCCATTCTGAGTTCTGGTTCCAGCTTTACTTCTAAGCATGTAAAATGAGGGAAGTTAACGATTTCTACGACCAGTGTGTTCTCTTGGAAAACTTCTGTTAGCCTTTGTCCTGCTTCAATTTGTACTCCAAGATCTCTTGACTTTCTATTTTTGCATTCCAGTCCCCTATAATGAAAAGGACATCTTTTTTTTGGTGTTAGTTCTAGAAGGTCTTGTAGGTCTTCATAGAACTATTCAGCTTCTTCAGCATTAGTGGTTGGGGCACAAACTTGGATTACTGTGATGTTGAATGGTTTGCCTTGGAAACAAACGGAATCATTCTGTCATTTTTGAGACTGCATCCAACTACTCTATTTTGGACTCTTGTTGACTATGAGGGCTCCATTTCTTCTAAGGGATTCGTGCCCACAGCAGCAGATAAAATGGTCATCTGAATTAAATCTGCCCATTTCCGTCCATTTTAGTTCACTGATCCCTAAAATGTCAATGTTCACTCTTATCATATCCTGCTTGACCATGTCCAATTTACCTTGATTCATGGACCTAACATTCCAGCTTCCTATGCAATACAGTTGTTTAAATCACTGGACTTTACTTTCACCACCAGACATATCCACAACTGGAGAAGGGGGCGACAGAGGATGAGATGGTTGGGTGGCACCACTGACTCAACGGATACAAGTCTGAGCAAACTCAGGGAGACAGTGAAGGACAGGGAAGCCTGGTATGCTGCAATTCATGACACCACAAAGAGCTGGACACGATTCAGTGACTGAACAACAACAAACCATTTCTAGATCTGCAGCTTTCTACAAAATCAGCTATGAAGTTTTACCTCATCAGCCATATTCACCTGACCTCTCAGCAACTGACTACCGCTTCTTCAAGCATTTCAACAGCATCTGCAGGGAAATGCTTTCACGACTGGCAGGAGGCAGAAAATGCTTTTCAAGAGTTCGCTGAATCCCGAAGCATGGATTTTTTTTTTTTTCCGAAGCATGGATTTTAAAGCTACAGGAATAAACAAACTTATTTCTCATTGGCAAAAATGTGTTGGTTGTAATGGTTCCTATTTTGAATAATAATGATGTGTCTGAGCCTAGTTATAATGATTCAAAATTCATGGCCCAAAATCACGATTACATCCGCACCAACCTAGAAACACGAAGATACAGGTTGATGGACAGTTTTTGCTCAGGTGTCAAAGGCCTTTTTCCCCCACAACAGTGGGTAAGTTTATTTTAATTCTCCCTTTTTCACTGGGGAATTATGTTTCCTTTAAACATGGTAAACTATTATTTTTCAAAAAATTAATTAGGCAGTTCTACTATTTTGGGCTCATAAGTGGTCCACCTATTTATCCCCCTTATTTATTCAGTGGTCTGCTCAGAAAGACTTATAAACACATAATGGACAAATAATGTTTCAGTTCTTGAATCTCACTGGCTACATGAATTTATCCTGATTTAGTCTGAGTTGTCGTATTGACTCTTTCCCTATTCTAAGAACATGATTATAACCTTTTTTTTATTTGGCTGTGGTGGGTCTTCACTGCAGCACTGGGCTTTCTCTAGTTGTAGCGCACAGGCTTAGTTGCCCTCCTCAGCATGTGATACCTGAGCTCCCCTACCAGGGACTGAACCCGCGTCCCTTGCATTTTAAGGCAGAGTCTTAATCACTGGACCACCAGGGAAGTCTCTATAATTATTTTTTATGATTCTAAATATTTTACCCTAAACCATGTATGATTTCTTTTTTTACACTGGTAGTTTTGTTCCTCAGAGAAACTATTAAAATTTTTACCTTAATCATAATCTGTTTAAGGGATAATTAGCTATTTTTTCCCCATTGATCTTACTTGTGCTGTCTCTGCATGTTCCAGCATTTCTTCAAATTCCTGATACTCTTCATCATCTGGTTCAGCACCTGAGAGGCGAGCTGCCCTGGCCATGAAGTATGGAGGTAGCTCTCCAATTGCTGTACCGATACCCTGTGTAAAAAGAACAGAACACTTACATGAGAGTTTCTCAACACAGTGATGTGAAGCAGATTAAACCTTTAATTTTCAATATCACCAAAAGCATGTTAAGATGTACATATTAGGAAGGAAAAGACATGCTACATGATCGGGAGGACATGAGTTTGAATCCTGCCTGACCTTAATACGGATCCACGCAATGCCTGACCAGATAGCATACATAAAATTCTCAGGCAATCCTGGGTACACTGCAGACACTAAATTAATATTAGTTCTCTAGCATCTCTATTTATATCCTGTGTTCTTATTTTTATATCTCTTTTCATTTTAATTTTAGAAATAGCTCACAGTTTTCTAGACTTTTGAAATTTTTTTTTAATTGAAGTATAGCTGATTTATAAATTTAATTTCAAGTGTAAAACACAGTGATTTAAAATTTTTATAGATTATATTCTATTTAAAGTTATTATAAGGCATTGGCCTATTTTCCTTGAAGCTTATTTATTTTACACACAGCAGTTTGTACCTCTTAGCCCACTATGGCTATCTGGCTCCCTTCCCCTCTTCCCTCTCCTCACTGGCAACCACTAGTTTTATCGGAAATTGTTATAACCCCTCATTTTAAAAAATTTATACAAAAATATATGTTCATACACTGTTAATTTTGTCAGTCTTCCTCTCCTTTTCAAATGATTTGCTAATGAGCACTTGATAGTATAGCTCTTAGATGTATGTTTTCTAGGAAATCTTCTTGTATTTAGGATGGTGCTTTAATCCGAATACAACTTTTTTGTGTGCAAAGTTAACAAACTGTAGTCAGGAAGCCCCTTGAAATCTCAACATTAGGATGGATAAATTTTCACCGCAGGAAAAATGTTGATTTCCTCAGGACATTGAGTGACTCATGTTTCAGTCACTTTGTGGATTCTTGTTTTTGAAGAGAATTTTTTTTTTTCCAATCATCTTAGGATATAAAGATGAAAACAAAGGTAAAAGAATCAGGAACTTGGTTTGAACTTAAATGGCTTAAATACAGGATAGATAATGCAAGAGACCGAGAGTACCCAGGAAAATTCTTAACTTTGAGACACCCTTCTCTGCCCTGGATCATAGTGAATGAAAAAGCTTCAGTAGTTTTCAGAAGCAACTTCAGGACTTTTTGTTTGCTCTGTCCTATGGCTCTAAGAATCCTCAAGGAACTGTACCAAATTCAAGCATCCCGGGTTCACAGTGTTATACGCCAGTGTGTAAAATCAACAATCTCCAAGTTTAGCTGCATTATCTACATGCGAGCCAAGAGTTAGCAAAAGAATATAATTAAGTGCCAAAAGAATAAGACTAGTTAAATATCTAGTTAAAGAACAGAGAAAGGGGAGAGACATACACAGAGAAGGGTGCTGGAAGAAAGCATAAATCATATTCTTTGAAACAAGAAAAGTTAATTTTGCCTCCTCTGGAGGATGTTAGAGAACTAATTATTTTAAAAACTGGAAGAGAAACAGTCAATTATTTATCCTGTCTTATCTATATGGAATATAACTCAGGGTAACCAAATTGATGATAAGGAGAAGTTTCTCTTTACAAAAGTATTCCAGTCATTAACCAAAGAAAAAATGATGCAACTGGAAAGACCCCATTTTATAAACCCCAGGAAAATAATGGACTTATATAATAATGGTGTTAATATAAACAGATAGCCAGACATTATTGCACTATGTGACAGAATACACTAGACCATAAAGTATATTCCTGCAAAAAAATAATTTTCCCCCATGTCTCTCAATCCAGCTATCAATTCACAGAAAACAGATAAATATATTTAAATAACACCAACTGGAATACAAACAGGATAATTCAGACCATGGAAAACTATATTTGACAAACAATCCAGTTTCATCAACCAATACAAAGATACTGAAAAGAAAAAGAAACAAACAATCAAAAAAATTTGAACTCTAATTGGATAACAGATTTAAAGAGGCTATTTCTAAACTCTCTTAGGTGTGACAATGTTTTTGAAGTCCTAAGATTGATATTTACAGATAAAATATGCTATGTTACCTGGGATATGCTTCAAGATAATTGTGAGTTGAGTGAGGAAGTGTCTAGATAAAACAGTATTAGCCACAAATGAAAGCTGGGAAAGCTGGGTAGCCATTAGTGAAAGGTGGGTGATAGTATATTGAATTAATTATATAATTTCCTATACTTAAATTTTTTAAGACAAAAAGTAAGAAGAAAAGTTAATTGCAACATTCTATTCAAAACATGAACTTCTCTTCTTCTCAAATGTTCAATAGTTCTGAAAACAGTCATATGATTCAAACTCACGACAAATTTTCTTAAAATTAAAAGGAAGTAATAATGAATTGAAATGAAATTAAGACCTATAAACTATTTTATACTTAGTTAATCATTTTCATTGTTCTATTTTAATTCTGTTCATGTTTTCCCATATTAGCAAGGAGATGGTAATCAGAAGTTAGTATTCTACTTTTTATGCATATGAGTAAAAAGGAAACATAGTCTTCCAGACAGGTCTCTCAAGACACATTATATTCTAAACACAGAAGTTGGATACCAAAGACCATAATTTCATGATTCTTACAAATAATTTTATAATTCTTGCAAAATCAACATGAAAAAGACAAAACTAAACTGTGGAACACTATAAACTGTCAGCCTAAGTTTAATTAAGGGGAAGAAATGACTGGCTTCCTTTTTGCAAAAGAAAGAAAAGTGGTATTTAGTTAAGCAATAATTCAGAAAATCTTCTAAAAATTTTTGACTGTATATCAATTTATTATCTTGAAGTTCCTGTTTCTTGAATTGGAGAAGAGTTTAATATACACAAAATATGCAAAACCAATAGAGAAACATAATAACTTCGTGGAGTATCAACTTTACAAAAAGATTTTTAGGAGGAGAAAAATACTGAATTTTTGTACTTTCAAAAAGTTTTGTCAAGTGGAATCACAAGTAAATTATGAGCATCTTGCTTTTCTGTGTTAGGAATTATAAGTTTAATGCTAAAAATCTGGGAGTAGAAAATTTTATATATGCTGACTACTCAGAAGTAATGGTAGTTTGGTATTATCAGTATGTTAATAATCTTTAAAAAACAAAGTCATTTTTCTGTTAAATATTCTATCTACTATAAACATGAAATAGAGGTCAAAAGCCAAGTTTGGAGGGTAACTTGGAACCATTGAGAAATTTAAGGTTTTTACAGCAATGTTTAAAAAAATTACACCAATTCTAGTAAAATTATCAGACTGTTTTACAAACAAAAAGAGAGAGAAAATGTGCATCCAATTTCCCTTAAGGTCAGTTTTAAAATGATTTCAGGAAGGAATGAAGTTCTGATATACGCTCCAACATAGATGAAACTTGAAAACATTATGCTAACTGATGTAAGCCACACATGGCTTACATGTGATTCTATGTGACTCCATTTACATGGGGTATCAAGAAAGAATTGGCAATTTCACAGAGGCAGAAAATTCAAAATTACCAGGGGCTGGAGAGAGTAGGGAATGAGGAGTTATTGTTTAACGGGTGCAGAGTTCCTATTTGGGGATTACAAAAAAGTTCTGGAAGTAGATATTGGTGATGGTTAAACAACACTGTGAGTGTACTTAATGCCAGTAAATTGTGTATGTAACCTGTTACGTATATTTTACTACAATAGGAAAAAAACCCAAAAAAACAAAACCATGAATTAACAAATAAATGAATTTACACCTCCTCACTTTATACCTTATTATCTTTAAGGAGTAAAATCAGGTAGCAGGCCACTGGTAGGACTGAGAGACAGAGCATATCTCTAGATATTCCCTGAAACATTGCTCTCCATGGAGATGTCCCCTGAATCACAGACAAGGAAAAATCTTTGTACTATGCAACAGATTTCTCCTTCATAGCACTTATCACAATTAGTTTAAATACTTATATAATTTTCCCACAATACATATATATGCATTTTCCCGTAACTATTTCCCTTATTAGAATATAAAGGAGAAGGCAATGGCATCCCACTGCAGTACTCTTGCCTGAAAAATCCCATGGACGGAGGAGCCTGGTAGGCTGCAGTTCATGGGGTCACTAGGAGTCGGACACGAATGAGCGACTTCACTTTCACTTTTCACTTTCACACATTGGAGAAGGAAATGGCAATCCACTCCAGTGTTCTTGCCTGGAGAATCCCAGGGATGGGGGAGCCTGGTGGGCTGCCGTCTATGTGGTCGCACAGCGTCGGACACGACTGAAGCGACTTAGCAGCAGCAACAGAATATAAAGCTCCATAAGTTTCACTCACTGTGAAATTTCCAACACTTGGAAGCTTAATAACTATTAATGGAATCTGAAATAATAAATGAAAAAACATATGGAGCATTACACAGAATGGGTGAATTTAACTCAGATGACCATTAAATCTACTACCATGGGCAAGAATCCCTTAGAATAAATGGAATAGCCATCATAGTCAACAAGAGTTCGGAACGCAGTACTTGGATGCAATCTCAAAGACGACAGAATGATCTCTGTTCGTTTCCAAGGCAAACCATTCAATCACAGTAATCCAAGTCTATGCCCTAACCAGTAATGCTGAAGAAGCTGAAGTTGAATGGTTCTATGAAGACCTATAAGACCTTCTAGAACTAACATCCCAAAAAGATGTCCTTCTCATTATAGGGGGCTGGAATGCAAAAGTAGAAAGTCAAGAAATACCTAGAGTAACAGGCAAATATGGCCTTGGAGTACAGAATGAAGCAGGGCAAAGGCTAATAGAATTTTGCCAGGAAAACACACTGGTCATAGCAAACACCCTCTTCCAACACAAGAGAAGACTCTACACATAGACATCACCAGATGGTCAATACTGAAATCAGTTTGACAGACTGTATTTTTTGCAGGCAAAGATGGAGAAGCTCTATACAGTCAGCAAAAACAAGACTGGAGTTGACTGTGGCTCAGATTATGAACTCCTTATTGCCAAATTCAGACTTAAA